AGTCGGAATTTCAAAGTCGGGAATTTGATTGAGGGGATTTCGGTTGTCGGTTGTCACCGTTTAGTAATTACGTTTCCATAATCACGCAATCGGAAAATGTGTCACTGAAAACAAAACAAACAAAACAAATTTGACATGAAATTGTTGTCATCCAACCGTAAAGAGAATAACAATCAACAGTGATATAAATATGTAAGGTCAACAGCATTCGAGAGAAAATGAAAATAAATCAGTGTAAAATATATCGTTTCCAGCGATAAAAGGTAATGTTCAATATGTATTATTACTTAGATAATTTGTTTCCTATTCGACTATCTACCACTAGGTTATGTTTGTATTGTGCGTGGAAATTGTAATTTACATTTGATTTATGTAACGTACGTTCTGCTTTTGTTATTCCATTTGCATTGTTTGTCGTGCACGAGACTTTACGAGTAGTTCTTGTTTTTTTTTATGAAATTTCAAATATGAATCCCATTTTAATAAATTACAATTAATTAGTTATTTCCAGTTTTACATTTGATGGTTCGAATCCGTTTATGGACGTAATAGTTATTATGTATGAAAGTTATTGCATGTCTTAATTGGAGAGATGATGATAATATTAATATTGAATATATAAATATGTTTGTGTGTGTGTGTAATTTATTTGTTGTGTCTCGGTTATTGAGTGAAACAAATTATGAATAATAAAATGGGTAGAAATTATTTTACTTTTGTAGACTACAACTACTTTATAACATGTTTTCTGGCCTCGAGGTACGAGAGTACCACTCTTAACGCGTCTGCAATGTAGCTGTAGTTTTTTGTTGGTTTAGTTTGTGGCTTCAGTAACAGCAATTAGATTTTATGTATTTAATGGAGAGGATTATCAAGGAATTATTACGAAATTTCGCACAACAATAAAATTTCATATGGAACAGATATGTATGTACGTGCGAGAGATATTTGAATCAAACGGAGTTTTAAACGAGAGTGTCTGTTAGCATCTTGTCCTCATTGAGTAGCCAAGCCCACTTTTACCAAGGACACCGTTTTATGATTATTTATCCGGCATTCCTGAGGAGACCCTACCGGAGATGTTTATTTTTTTAATATTATTACTTCTCTTTTTTTTTTATAAAACATGATACACGAAATCATCCTCGTAACTTTCGCATCGTTACTTTGCGAATAACAAGCTGTCTCGTGCAGGTGTCATAGTTTATATGATCTTAGTCTTAAGATTCGTTTCAAATCCTAAACTCAGGCCAAGTAATTTAATTGCAGCGGAGTCGAATCGAATGGAATCACACACGGATTCTTCGCATCGGAACGGACGAAGAGACTGTATGTGGAAGGTAGAAATATTGTTCGCTATTATGGTATGCGGTTTTCTGTATATTTAACATACTGGTTACAAATTGGGACGGTTTACAGTTAGTATTGATGAGAAAATATGTAAAGATATATCTCCGATGTGCCATGAGACATCCACACTCCACGTTAAATAATTGCTGCCTCTTCTTTATTTCTTTTTCTTCTCCCCTCAATAGCCATCCGCGGTTTCCGTTGACCATAAACATTGCGTAATGCGTTTTGCCGATGACCGTCTTCAGTTCGCATGTCGGTTTCGATTCTTTATCTTTACCTACGCTTCTCGGCATTTAACCCCTTGCATAATTTCGTTTTTTTGCCACCGGAATGTTTAACGTTTGCCCGCCGATCTTCCTTAATTATGATGTTAAAAAAAAGGTGAATATATTAAGTGCACGCAATTAATCCGTAAAACATTCTTATGAACAGGAATTTCAATCAACAACAATTATAAATTATACTCATTAAGACGTCTGTACTCTGCGCGATGCTTGACAAGTAACTTATATAGGAATATGATAAACAGCACTTGTTAACTTTCTGTTATATGAGACGAGCTATAGTAGACTACACAAATATCTTATTTATTACGAGATACTTTTCAATTAGCTGATAAATTACTTGTAAAAGTACTTACAGTTTCAATAAATTCTAAGTAATTTCTAGAAAAGTACATACGAAAGTATATACAATTACAATCTCGAAGATTTAAAAGTACATGAATCAGAAGTTGTCTTTTATTCTCGCGATAAATTCAATTAATTGGTACTAAAATAAGTAACATAATTGNATAAACAATATACATAACGCCATACTTGACAAATTACTTGTATAAGAGGAAGTGTAAATATATAAAAGTTGTGGTAATTATAAAGTCTTCACTTGAAGTAACTTGTAGAAAAGTATATACCAAATAGTTCAAACAAACAACTATCATACACAACGCAATACTTGAGAAATTACTTGTAAAAGTATTTTTATGAAACAAGTTGTGTTAATTATGAAGTAGAAAGTACATACGAAATAGTTGTGATTTCAAAGAATGAAATTACTCTAAACTTGTCAAGTAATTTATATACGCGAATCAAGTAAACAACTAATCTTAACGAATAAGCAAATTCCATACACACAACGTAATACTTGACAAATTACTTGCAAAGTATTTTTGTGAAATAAGCTGTGGTAATTATGAAGTAACTTGTGGAAAAGTATATTCCAAATAGTTGTCGTGATTCCAAAGACTCAAATTACTCTAAACTTGTCAAGTAATTTATTTAAAAATACGCGTATCAAGCAAACAACTATCATAATCTCAACGATTAAACAAATTCCATAAACGCAACGCAACACTTGACAAATTACTTGCAAATATTTTTTATGAAACAAATGGTAGGTAATTATGAAGTAACTTGTGGACAAGCATATACCAAATAGTTGTGATTTCAAAAACTCAAATTACTCTAAACTTTTCAAGTAATTTATATAAAAATACGCGAATCAAGCAAACAACTGTCATAATCTCAACGATTAAGCAAAGTCCATATACGCAACGCAATAATTGACAAATTACTTGCAAAGTATTTTTGTGAAACAAGCTGTGGTAATTATGAAGTAACTTGTGGAAAAGAATATTCCAAATAGTAATTTATATAAAAATATGCGAATTAAGCAAACAAGTATAATAATCTCAACGATTAAGAAAATAAATCCATAAAAAAATAAGTATGATAGTTATGGACAGTGGACACATCTCGTACATTTCACGTGATCAATTACAAGTAACTTGTACTAAATCAAGTACATAATGCAATATTTGACATATTACTTGTGAATTTATGTGTGAAATAAGCTTTGATCATTATATAGACTTCACACGAAATAGTTAAATATTTAATCTTAAAGTCTGCGAATAAAGTTAAAAGACTCAAATAACATACCGTATCGTATTACTAGATAGTAGTCAAGAGTGCACGCGAATTAAGGTACGATAGTTAAGGAGACTACGTTTATCTCTTATAGACTACACAATAATTACCAAGTAAATTATATAAAAGAACATAAACAACTTAACAATTTACATGATAAGTATGGGTTGTTGTGCAGTCGTTTCTAAATGCATAACAAGTTTAGTTTGACAATAAAACTTTAGAATCTAAAGTGCACGTTGCAATAAAAATCTAATAATAATATATTTTTACAATAATCTAAATTGCTTCAGAAAACCAATTAAGAAATTTCTGCAGTTTCGTTGGATTGCAATGTGAAAACTATGTTTTGTGATGTTTCCTTGTTTTTTTTTTTTGAGAATGAGGGCCTAATATTTGCATGCGCAATCCAACACGAAAATTTTAAAAGAAAGGCGGGACATGTTGCACCTCATTAGAAAGCTAGTTTCTTCTTTCTTTCTGAAAAGAGAAATTCGTGTATGGCGACGGACGATCGCAATAAAACTCGTAAGGTCCACGAAAGACGATCGCGTGCCGATCAAAAGCGGCATTCTTGTTTTCCTTCTTCATATTTATACATCTTTTTAACTTTTTATTTCCCATCGCCACCATCTGCGTACGTACCAATCACATAAACAAGCGATTTAGGGCTTACACGTCTTTATAGATTCGCTTCAACAAGTTGATGTTTCTGCAAGAATCATCGTTTAATTGCAGCAACTCGGAATGCGAATGACAATTTCCGTGTCCTCGGCAAGTTTTTGAGTAACGACTGCCACGAATTATTCGCAATTGAAACACAACGATTAGCATTCTTCAAGGGAAATCAAGAGACAACTTTATCACCTCTTATACTTATTATTTTATTTATTATCTGCAGATTAAAATGTTTGTTTCAATGGAAATATAGTATTGAATTCAGAACTTTCAATGAAGTTTTTCATTCTATTCCTGCGGTTTTAATGAGAAATCGTCAGAGACAAACATTCCCAACTATCGTTTGTCATCGCAATTTCGAAGCAATTATTTTATGAATATTTATTAGATGTTTTGCAACAATGAGTAATGGTAATAATAATACGAGAATTGCTTGCTATAAAATTTATCCTTCCACGAAATTATAAACAATTAGAAAAAAGAAACATATGATAAACAGAAAACGAAGGCTCTGTCCCATTTTCTAACTGCGTCTGTTATCCTTCAAGGAAGTGTACCTGGTCGTATAAGTTATGATGAAGTTTAGTGTATATAGAAATTGTGCAATACTAACATAAAATTAAGACTAATGTAACCATATCAAATCTAGGCGCCATTAAAATGAGATGGAAAAAAAAAACAAAATATGCCCTACGGTGATCAATTCATGGGTGGACGACATCTGGACAAAGCGAAAGCTTCAGGAAACAAACAACTTGTTTACAAATACGTTCTTAAACAGTTATATTGTGCAATAAAAAACTGCAGCAGTGAAGAACTTAAATGCTTCCAAACAAATACAATATAATTTACTGCATTCGGTTACTTAGTTATTCTTTGAGAAATACTTAATTATTAAGTGACGTATCTAGGATACATCAAGGATATACGGATTTCTGTTTAAAACAAAAGAGGATGATGAATTTTGTTTAGGATTGGAAATAAATGTCATGTTCATTTCTAAATAAATATATTTATGAAAGACTACAAACTAATCAATCGTCGATGATAAAACGTGATAGAAGTAAACGTAAATACTTTGTACAATATATAATAATCATTTAATATGCGTTTTCAATATTCTTACTAAAATCAATAAATAACATTCGCATTGTTTCTTATATAATATAATCGTGCGTTAAGCAGACGATTGCTTATAATTCTTTGTACTCATCATCTTCTTTCCGCACATCGCGCAAATTCCCTTCTTGTACGCGCACGCTTGACAATAGTGAGCTCCAGGTTGATGCACCTTTTGTCGACAAATCCTGAAACAACAACAAAAAAATGCATTAACATTGAATTTATGATCGAACATAAATCATGCAAATTAAACAGTTATAAATTACGATTACATTGTTTGTTTTTTTTTTCTTGTTGGTCTTGCATAGGAATACATTTCAAAGTCAATGTATTTACGCTCCTTCTTTTTCTTTCTTCTTGAATTAGATAATAATTAGCATTACGTTTTACATGCATATGCGTCCACGCAAAAGATTCCAAACAATAGAAATGAGTCAACTTAGTGTAGTTCTTTGAACTTGCCAGATAAGAGAACAAGTGAACATTGCCTTAAATGTGGATAGCAATGAATTACAGCTCATTGGAAACAGTTAATGCATATCATCAGAAACTTTAACAACAACAAAAAAGTACTGTAACAATTGAATAATAACTGTAACAATTGATTATATAAAAGTTTTTAAGGTTGCTAAGCTCCAATGACAGATGAAAATCAATAGTTGATGATCAAGTAAACAAATAATGATGTTAAATGTTTAATTAAAGACTGTTTAAAATGCTCTCGGAAATCTACAACAAAGTTTAAACACAATAACAATACTCACTTGCATGTCTCGAACTTTGTTGTGTACGGATTAAACCTATTTTTTGAGCCTGTCAGTGCTTTGTTCTCATTAATTCTACGTCCACCACCCTCTGTGGTGTTCCTGGCTCCACTCTTCCAAGGATCAGGTGTAATCACTTTGCTCAACTTCTTTTCACATTTCTCACAAACCATCTTACCCTTAACTATTAAATATCTTTATCAATTAGGTAACAGTGGCAGTAATATACAACATGCAAATCTGATTTATCGAACTGAGATTATTTCTTTCAATTTCAAAACATTGCCTCTGAATAACCTATAAATATTAACAGATTTGAGAAAAACACAACAAAACTGAAGTGGAGGGGGCTAATCAAGATTTATTCGCTGAAAATTAAATTACAAACTTTAATTCATAAATCGTTAATTATTGAATTTGCTTGAACTAATTCTATAAACTAATATATTTGTTTGTTTGATTAAAGCTGAAATCATGTTAAATTTGTAAGGATAGTTGCATAATGGGAAGCTGCTTATGCAACCAAATTAACGTTAACCATGGTTAAAAGAAGACATAGTTTTGTAATCTCAGTTGTTACTGGAGGTTCATCAAATATAACCTCGAAAAACCTCGTGTAGTTGTGTTTATTTATTAGATTTAAGGCGACAAGATGAAGATTAAATTTACTGACAACGATGAGGAAGAGGTTTACGACGAAGATGAGGCACATGAGGAACGCAAAGCAAAATGGTATCATGAGGTAAATAACGAGAAACGTGTTAGTTTCAGCATTCTTTAAACATTTGTATTATAGTTTCCAGCTGATATACAATGTGAACCTGTTGCCGATGAGTTAATGATTAAGTTGAAAGATGAGGCTAAAAAGTGCTTGGATTCAGACAGTGCTGCATATAATATAAGTAAGTTTGTTTACAGTTATATTCAAAATGTATGTGAATGTAACATTATTTATACTTTTAGAAAGTGCTAAGATTAACTCAAATTATGGCTGGATGAAGACTGTGATGTCGAAGGGAGCTGTTTCCGATAAAATAGCTGCCCACACAATCATGATCCAAGATGATCCTGTCTGCAATCTGGAGAAAATCTGGAATTTGATAGGCATGGTCAAAGTGGGGAAAAAGAAGGAATGCATTGTTGTAATTGGTTTGTTTGTTTCATTATTTTCTCTATAATAATTTCTAAATGAATCAATTTTAATTTTCAGAAACCTTGACTGAATTGTTTTTATCTGATTTGTTGGTGCCTGACAGAAAATTGAAACTGTTCCATCAAAGACCATTAGGAAAATTGAATGATTTGTCGTCAGGAAACACGAAAACGAGAAATAAGTATCTATGCCACTGGTATTTTGAAGATCAACTGAAAGAGGCTTACACGAATTTCGTGCAGGCTTTGAATACCACAGCCCATGACTCTGTGGATGCGAATAGGGAGAAAGCCATCACGTCTATGACCAATCTGTTGATAGGAAACGCGGAGCAAGAGAATAATCTTCTTTCGCATATAGTCAACAAATTGGGAGATCCTTCTTTGAAGGTCGCTTCCAAAACATTATACTGTTTAACTCAGTTACTTAGGAAGCATAGCAATATGCAAACAGTCGTTTTAAAGGAAGTGGAGAAGATTATGTTCAGGCAAAATATTGGACAGAAGGCGCAGTATTACTGTCTGTGCTTCATCATACAGTTTCACCTTACTCACCAGGATCCACAGATTGCTGCTAAATTGATCAGCATCTACATCTCATTCTTCAACAAGGCCATTACTGATGTAAGTTCTATTATATTATTTATAATCAACAATTACTTAATTTATCTTCATTTCTTTAGGGTGACGTTGATAGCAAGATGATGTCTGCTTTGTTAATTGGTGTTAAGAGAGCTTTCCCTTACGCCAAAATTGAGTTGGAGACTTTACAGAAACACTTTGATACCTTATACAGGGTGTTTCACGTGGCCAAATTCAGTGTCAGCTTGAACGCTCTGTGCTTACTGCATCAAATTTCCGATGTATCCAACACATTAAGCGATAGGTTCGTATATAATAATCATACTGAAACCTTTAAATTTATTGTAAAAATGTTGTTAACAGGTATTACTCAGCCTTGTATAAAATGCTCATCGATCCTAATTTTTCCAAATCGACGCAACAAGCTATTTTATTGAATCTAGTTTATAAATCATTGATGAAGGATACAAAGAAAAATAGGATATTGGCATTCATTAAGAGATTGTTACAGGTAAATGTTTTGTGGATTTAACGTGATTTCGAGATTCTAACGTAATTTATTTTAGATTTGCCATTATTGTCAGCCAAATTTCGCGTGTGGTATTCTATTCTTGATTTCACATGTCATCACAAAGGATAAGACTCTGTTCATCGTTGAGCTCAAATCGCATGTCAGCACTTATAACTCTGATGACGAAGACGACGAGGAGAAATATGTCGATATTAAAGATGAATTGGACGAGAGAGAAGTTCAGATTGCCGATGTAACTTGCGAAGAAGATAAGGACTTTGAAGTTGTCGTTGTATCTGAAGAGAAAGGAAATAAACCAAAGGTTGCTGGCTGGTTCCATGCTGGTGTATCCACCAAACAGAAGAAATGCTCGAAAAATGAAGCGACTGTAAGGAATCCTCTGTACGCGGATGCCGAGAAGAAGGCGTACACGGAATTGGTGACGTTAAAAGAGCATTACCATCCGACAGTTGCGTTGTTTGCTAACAAATTGATCAATGGCGAGAAAATTATATATTCCGGTGATCCGTTGAAAGATTTCCAGATCATCAGGTTCTTGGATAGGTTCTCGTTTAAGAATCCAAAGAAGGTGGAAGATTTGCCTTCGCACGATCCTACATTCGGTAAGAGAAAAATGTATCAACCAACTGGTCTGAAAGCCGTGTCCGTGACATCCTCCAATTACGTCACTCAGGATCAAAAGGAAATTCCCGTTGATGAACTCTTCTTGCATTCGTAAGTTCTCTTTGCATTTGATTTATTGGACAGTTAATAATTTGTTTTATATTTAGATACATGCAACATAAATATAAAGATAGGGATATAAAGGAGGAGGAAGAGGATGATATTGAATCGGTGGCGAGTGATGAATTCGAGGAAATGTTGGACAAAATGTCCGGATTCAAACATACCGAAAATGATGAAGATATGGACTTTATGGATGATTACGGAACTACCGTTAAAAATAAGAAAGGTGTGTATATTAATTAATAATACTTGAACGACGTTATGGTTAATTCAAAAATTAATTTACGATTTTTTAGAAAGCAAAAAGGACGATGACGAAGAGGAGGAAGAAGACAACGACGAAGAAAACGGTGATCTAAATGATGATGATGATGAAGAGGATTGGTCTGACGAAGAGTTTTCCAACGGAGATATGGGTGATATGGACGTTGACGATGATGATGACGGCAGTATCGATATGTTCGGTGACGACGATGATGATGAAGATAACGTCATGTCCTTTAATAAGAAGAACAAGAAGAAAGCGAAGGGTGGCAAATCAGTGTTTGCTTCGGCCGAAGAGTTTGCTCATTTGTTGGAGGAAGAGGGTAGCAGCAAAGTGGCCCCAGGCAGTTCCAATCAAGTACAGAATAGCGATAAAGCTGGTAGGTTTCTGGTAATAATATTTCGTTGTTCAGTTGATATTGATGTTGTGATTTTTAGATGTCCGACAATTGGACTGGGAGGAAAAACGTAACAGATGGTTGCACAATAAGGGTGAATTCAAGGGCAAGGGCGGAAAGAAATTTAATAATGGCAAGAAGCCTTTCGGCAAGCCCGGTGGTAACAAAGGCAACGGCGTTTTCAAGAAGCGACCCAGCACGTTTAAGGGTAAAAATAAGAAGCAGAAATAAGTTAATGTTTATTGTTACTAATAAATACATTTTATAAGAATTTATCTACAGTAGTTTCATTTTTCATCAAGTAAACGAAATTTTTTCAAATTTTAATTAGTTTTTTTTTTGGTGGTACGTAGATAACCCAAATAGCAGACATGTTAGACAACGTGAAGATGCTAAATGTTTGGTCCTGGAATGTTGGGAAATGTGATGTGTGAGATTTGCGGTCTGTTGGGTATGGTTCGGTTTTGGTTAGACTGTGCTGTGCATAACATTTGAAACTGACGTGGCTTTTGTCTGGCAGGTGGTTGCTGTCTGTCTACTGCATACATATACCATCTTCATCACCATCAATAATACACGTACAATATAGATAAGTGAAGGTTCGTAACCGCAGCAACACCGAAAATAAAATAAAACAAGAAATTCTATTTACATAATGGCGTGCGGTAGACTGACTGTTTTGACAATTTTTGTAGTATTTTGTGCCTTTATCAGTGTAAATGCCAGTAAGGTGATCGATCTGACGGAGGAGAATTGGAGGTCGATGCTCAAAGATGAGTGGATGGTGGAATTGTGAGTGTAAAACCATACAAGAATGGGATGTGGATATGCATGCATGAAGCGGCATAACCCGGCCATCGATGATGAATGTTGCTAGCGTGTCAACTGTTCGTTCATTCGTTCGAGCGTGATATTGTGATTATTAATTAGGAATACCGCCTCTATGTGCTTCTCTATCTGTTTCCAGCTACGCTCCTTGGTGTCCGGCGTGCAAAGGCCTGCAGAACACATGGAACGATTTCGCCTCCTGGTCCAAGGACCTAGGTATTAGCGTAGCCAAAGTGGATGTTACCACGTCTCCAGGCCTCAGTGGAAGATTTATGGTTACCGCCTTGCCAACTATTTTTCAGTTAGTACCCATCAATTATTACTTGCGCAAATATTGATTATATCCATCTTACACACCATCCCAATTCCATTTCCACTTGTCAAATAAATCTAAACAAATATGATTCATCAATAACACAAACTCTATATACAGAATCTTATCTTATGTTATTGTAAAATTAAGTAAACAAGATATTCTTTCACCAACTTCCAACAAGATGAAATTGCTACAATATTCCTATTGTCATTTCCAATTGGATTCTATTTACACATAATATTTGTTTTTTTTAGTGTATATAATGGGCAATTTAGACAATATAAGGGAAGCCGCGATAAGGACGCCTTCTTCTCGTTCATCGAAGACAAGAAGTGGAAGACGATCGAACCAGTATCCAGCTGGAATTCACCAGATTCCATACAGATGACCATCGTCTCGGCCTTCTTCAAGCTGTCTCAGGTCCTGCGCCACTTCCACAACATCCTGATGGAGGATTACGGATTACCATACTGGGGATCTTACTTGATTTTCGCAGTTGCAACGATCCTTCTCGGCGCCGTCCTTGGTTTGGTAAGCCGATATGCATCTTTTGAATGTTTCGTTATTGACTCAGCAATTAGTCCCGGAATTAAAAATCTGGACATCGTGAACTATCACATAGTTAGGTCGTTGTCTTAGAGGGGATTTATGGATATTAAGTGCAATATTCTTAATTAATTTTATTTTGGGGAAAGGAAGTGGAAGTCCTAACCATCTTAAAAGTAAAAAAATTAACAGTCATAAACTAAATTATACCCTGATATAGACAAATACAATTAATAATCATAGTTAATTGATAAATGTTGATAATCTGGTTGGTCACGACAATACATATTAATTATACAATAGATGGTAATAAAATGGTCGGCCACGACACTAGAATGTCACCTTCGTTTATCGTTGAATTTTCAAGCTAATGCGTCACAAATCCGAGAACTACTTCAATTCAGTACATATCTATCTTTGTTTACTATTCCTCAACGAAATTATGCATTATTAAACACAATTATATACTATATATTTAGGCGTGGACAAAGCGTCGACTTTTCCTAGTCGTTCGCATGTCTCATATGTACACAACTCTGAAGTTTATTTTAAATTTAAACTTATTTTTGGCTTTAAATTAATATTTGTCTTATGATACTTTAACGCATACGATGTTGGTAGACCGTCGCCTATATTTAAAAAAAAAACAAGTCGCCTGTAGTGATCAAAAGTTTGTCTAGTCCTGGTATATATAAACCTTACATGATTGTTTTCGAGTATATTAGAAAAGTACATGTAATTGTACAAGCATTACTTGTGAAAGTGTCACATTCACATTATAAGGACTACATATCACATTTTGATAAAAACATTTTTATTATTTCAAAAAATTGTAGGTGAAGCATTTATTTTAAGAATTCTGAAATATTTATTGTTTCGCCGAAAGATTTCATTTTATTTTGAACTTGCTAGATTTAAAAATATGCATGTTATTTTTGTGTCATGTTTCAACGCGAATATTTTTATGTCGTACGTACAAAAATTCCATACTTTTATTCATAGGAGGATGTTTTTTTTATTATTTTGTATTGCATTTATTTTAGGTGTTGGTTTGCATTATTGATTTGATATATCCTCAAAAATACCAGAGACCAGAAAAAACCATGAAAGGAGGAGAATCGAAAAAGGATAAGGACAGCGATGATGAGCTTGTATGTTAATTGTATCTTTTAAACTTGGCATCATCATTAATATTGTTTGTTATTTGTAGGCCGATGAAGATATTAAAGATGATTTGTTAGACGACGCTAGTCAATCGGATGGCGAAAAGGTGTCCAGTTCGGATAACGAAAAGAAAGATGCTTCAAGCAAACCGAACAGTCCCGTCAAAAAGCGTAAGTCCAGGAAGGAGTGAACCCAAATACACAAACAAGCCACATTTTTTTTTAAAAGAAAACGCAGGAAACAAAAACAAACACAACATAATGTTAACTAACTAACGGTTACTCGATAAGGCTCAAAACTATTACTTAATTGCAGAAGGTTACGTTCATTTTTCTATTTTTCCAGGGAGAGCTGTGTTCACGCACTTTTGAGTGAAAGCAAAATTTATATTTTGCGTGGTGATTATATATATATTTTCATTAAAAAAAAACAAAACAATAATATTTAAATATTTTCGTATGTTATGCTGATTTATACGGAGATTTTATGGATTAATCAATAAATTGTTAAGCCAACGATATTAGATGGGTTTTATGGCGTCACGCTTTATTTTCTGTTATGTAGTTTCTTTTTATTTTCTTCGCACCGAGCGAAATTAAATCTGTATCCACACACACACGCATTCTTCGTTTTAGTCAATTGAGATTTATTTATAATTAATTTATTTTTTTTTTTGCTCTTTATTTCCTAATGTGTTTATTATTAATATTTTTTTTATATAGCTAATATATCTTTTTGTAGTTTGTCGATAATAAACGAAATGAACGTTGAGGGAATTGAATTGTATTTGATGGACAATAATCATTTATTTAAACAAAAAAACCGGTAGTTTGTTAAAGTTGGGATCTCTGCATATATGAAAAGGTTGTGTTTATTTGTTGTATTATTACAAATTTTTATTGAAATGTTTTTTGTTTGTCTTTGTCTTTTTTTCCAATTCCATCTATTACATGTTTAGACATTGACTGCCATCGTGAATAATTGTTAAATATGCGCACGTTTAAATCCATCACATTTTTTTTGTTGTTGCGTTTAAATCTATGTTTCTTTTATATAATCATTGTTCCATGACAACCATTAATGTTTAGTAGAATTGGATTTGTTCTTAAATTCCATGGATCCTCCTTTTTTTAATTATTATATATACATATATTTAAATACAATGAGTTTGTACTATATACACTTTATTTTTAACATTCCCATTAACAATATATCGATTTAAACTTATACGTTTAAATTGGAAACCTATTTTGCATAAAAGTGTAACTCAAATTATAGAAAACATACCAGAAGTATAGATTCTACATGGATTTGTTAAACATTGAACAAATATCGAAAAAAACTAATGTTTGTATTAGCAAATCTAATAGTTGTCTTCAAGTGCACAAAGAAGATAAGCAAACAAAGGATTATAATACAAGATTATAACAAGTAACAAGAAGAAAACTAAATATCCTAAAATTCAAGAAGGAATAATAGGATTTTCATAGCATGCAGCGTTTGTCTATTGATTGAAGGTGCGTTTTATACAACTAATCAACTTTTCTTATTTCAGTTATATTATTTTGCAGACACTTCTTCAGTTCAATTTGTTGCAATATTGATCAATACGTTTAAAGCAATGAAACTAAGAAGGTATAATCAGAGTATTACACAAACGTTGGGATTCTCGTAACCTAAACTTAAGCACTTGAGCACACAGTTCAAGGAATGGAAAGCGGCAGATAAAAAAAACCGGAAGAATAACATAGTACGGTCGTGAGGCACGTGTATGTAACATTAGCCACATGTCTGATTTCAACAGACCCCTGTGATGAGATCGATGTGCGAAAGAGCAGCACGGGATGTGTGCTGCAACGATTTTTATTCTGTCGAGGACGAAATATGCAAGGAGCTGTGCTATTTTAATCGATCGACTTTGACGTACTCAGAGACAGCCACTATAAATAGACAAATCTCGAATTGTGACATTTTTCGAGTGAGCCATATCGCATTGAGAAATTCAATTTTTTGTTAAATGTACAAGAAGAAATGCGATAACGAATGCGTTACGTATAATGCGTGTATAAACTGTTTTAAGCCGAAAGAACGTCCAAACAAGTATCTGCATTTAGTGTATGGAAATAGTGAGGAAACTGCGAAAACGTTTGTACCTATGAGGACATCAGTTTTATTTGAAATAATAACTAATAATATATCCTTGATTTCAGAATGATTTCTAAAGAACTCCCAATTTTCCTTATTATATAAGAAAAAGATGTATTCTTTAGCTTTAATGTATCTAAATAGGTTGAAGATGGACGGATGATTTGTTAAAAAAGGCATAATTATTTAAGTAGTAATTATGATTATAATAAATGCATAAGTTAATTAATACTTTAATGTATGTAATTAAGTAAGTTGTAAGGTTGTGAGAACAAGTTTTAGTTCTAGAATATTATTGATAATTAAAAATCAATATTTATAAAAGTGATTTGTTGAGATTGGAGAATGCAGGAGGAAATTAAATGTTAACTTTGATGTTGTAAAATGTGTCTTTGAATCCATCAAAGTTCATGAAGTCAATATAATACCACTAAATGACTGTACAAATGTATATCATTAATTTCTAAAACCAAATAATGAATACGAATTCTTCAATGAAAAAAAACCTAAGGTCTATTTCTACTTTATTCTATGTAAAACAACATATGTTAATATCTTAAGCAGAGCCGTCCTTACACCGGGCCCCGCTTTTTGAGGGCCCCGCAGCTTTATGTGGACCGGCAGGACAAGTGGCAAAACAAAGATTTCACTAGAGTTGAGATTTTAAATTATAAAAAAAAAATGTTTAAAGGGCTAGGGACGGCCCTGATCTTAAGTACACTAATTGATTAAAGTCTGTATTTAAAAAAGAAAGTAATCTTGAGTTCAGCTGTAACTTATAAAGCCTATCCGCAAATCAGATCCTGGTGAGAAATGGAAACATTTCACTTTATAAACAAAAAAAAATTGTTTGATTGCGAGCAATTAAAATTAACACGAAAATGGAGAGTGAAATATATAATTGGAAGAAAAACAAAAGGAAAGAAAAAATACAAAGAATGCGCACACTTGGTTACAGAGAAATGAGCAAGCAGATTTGAGTAATGCTTGATACACAAAATCATGTTAAAATTTGCAGACTATATGTCTATATGTTGAGATTTATTACAATTTAAAAGAAATGTTTTTTTTTGTTTGTTATTAGTAATCTCAGTAATTCTCAATATACTGAGAATGGAGAAACATCAAGTTTATATAAGTACAGTTGAACCTCGCTTAACGAGTTTAATCCGTTCCAAAATTTCCGGAAAAATAACACAAAAAAATGTCTACATAACTTTTAAAAATGATGTAGAAGACGTGCAATCCGGGACTTCTCTTCTCATCGTCGCTCGTTATGCGAAACGTCGCTCGTTAAGCGAGTCATTTTTCGTACAATTCATTTTGCTCGTTAAGCGATGTTCCACTGTATTTTAATGCTTAAATGCGTCTATTGCTTATTGAATAATGAAAAGCTATAATAGCAATAATTCTTTGGGCGTCTACTCAATAAGAAATAATTGGTAAGTTGTAAGTTGTAAGTAAGTAATGCTATGTGAGTAGTGGATATATGGTTATGGTGATCAAGTACTTGTACAAGTAAAATATGTGAAGTAAAGTTTTAAGTAGCGAATTGACGGATGTTGAAAAGAAAAAGGTGACCCTAAACCGAAGTAATCGTTCAATAATGTATACTTTTTGTTCATTTCAGTAGCAAAGAATATGTTCTTCAGATAAGTATACTAGACATTTACTTAGACACAAATCTGAAGAACATATTCTTATATATCAATGTATCTAGTTGAAAAGAAACATGTGTTTTAGTATTCTAATTTCTTAAACTGTGAAATCTTATTTTTTTAAAATCTAATATTTCAATTTGTAATACAGGTATCCGCCGACTTACGAACTCCCGGACTTACGAACAAAATTCTAAAAGCTCTAACTTGTTACAAGGAGATATATGGTGATAAACAAGTTAAAATTTAATATTTTTGGAAGATGTACTATCTGTTTCATTGCATTTGTTTCTTTTGTCGTTTCTTTTTGTTAATTGTGATGTCTACGTTGAAAAGTATTTGTAAGTGAGTATTTGGTTTATTTTAATCTATTTTTTCAAATTTATGAAGTCAGAATACGGAATTTAACATATATAAAAGTAAAAACCATGATAAAGTGTGGTAAGATAACTATACTTTGAAATTTTTCAAATTCCCCTGACTTACGAACAACCCTTTGGAACGGAACTAGTTCTTAAGTCGGGTGATACCTGTATTGCTAATAACCTGCTGATGATTTAAATACACATCATAAATATCCATCTGAAAAGTGTGAATATCAGATGAAAATTGTTTGCAATATGCGCATATTTGATTACATCCGAAAATGCTTCGTTCACTTCGGAAGATTTAGTAAAAGAAGCGAAAAAATATGATCGAGAAATATTCATTATGATAACACGATACGTTTTTGTTTTTTTTTTCTATTTTCCAATTATAAGCGGGTCCGAATATATCTGTGTGTTTATCGTTATAAAATTTCGGAAATTCAAAGTTCAAATCACGGATCTCGTATACAAAATCGCAGTTGCATTTGTTAATTAATTAGAAGTTTGATTACATAAACTAGTTGTGAAACTTTCGGATCGCATCGCAAACGCTTTCACCGCGCCAATATTATTATTATTATTATTATTGTTAAATTGCATTTCATATATGTAAATAAATTGAAAATAACATTGCAATTAAAATTTCGCGCAGATTAAATGAGAAGTAAACATATTTGTGTTCTAAAAATAAGCAGCTTAAGAGCAATAATTGTACACACAGATTGATACACGAAATACGAAAAAAAAAAGAGGATATGGAAGGAAGTCTGCAACTGAAATAGGATGGGTTTGTTAATGCCGGGGATTTATTATTTTCGTTTAGAAAGTTTTAATCAAAGTGCAAAGCTCATAAACACACGCATCTGATGCACACGTTTCTGGGACTGTGTGGTGTCTCCGCTGCATGTATGCAGAGCAGACATCTATCCGTGACTCCTGGGGATTTGGTTCAAGTGTTGAGTAATCAATAGACCGAAATGCAACTCTCTGATTCATGCATTCCCAATCATGTTTTTTTTTGTTTCTCGTCCGCACAAAAATTACCCAATATTGTTA